CCAGGGTCATGCGCAGGGCATCCACATGTTCCTTGAGTGGCTTATACTCATCATGCAGCCCTCAAGTACACTCCAGCAGCTTGTTTAGGTCGTTCTCAGATTGTTTGATGGTGTTCTCCATCGCATTGATGTCAGCATGAATGAGTTGGAGTTCCTCCACATGGGCCATTTTCTCCTGTAGCAGAAGTCCATCTCCTGCTTGTACCCCTGACTCAAGGGCTTCAAATTCAGCCTTCAGACGGGTCTTGATCTTTTTCATGTGCAGGGTCTTATTCCTGATTTCCTTAATGCTTTCCAGTTTACACATGATTTCTTGTTCTTCAGCCATGCTTTCCATCCTCAATTCCAGCACCCAAGAAATGTGCAGAAACAATCAGCTAAGGGTTACAAAAGACATGGCAGAGCCAACTCCCACTGCTCTGAGCTTGTGCAGTAGCTGGAATAGCTTGTCTTAACAGCATGCTCCAGGGAGCTCTGATGGCTTAGGGGTAAGGAGCTATACTGCCAATGCAAAGGAACTGGATGCGAATCTGCCAGGTGCTTTGTGGGAAAAGGATGAGAAGTCTACTCCTGTTTTGATTTATAGCCTCTGAAAACTCACTTGAAAGGTCAGATATGAGTCATTTCTGACTTGATGATAACAAAGCAACAACAAAATGCACAAAGTATATGAGATTAAGGTTTGTCAACTTTACTTCCAAGGAGCACTTGGCTCCTCTTTTTCTAAGACTTACCTGCTTGTTCTTTTGGCCGTCCATGGGATATTCAGTACCCCACCACAACTCAAAGAGATCAAGTCTTCTGCTGTCCAGCTTTCAAGTGATTGAAAAGGCCATGACTAGAATCAAGCACACCTTGGTCTTTAAATTGACATTGTTACTCCTTAGTATTTTGGAGCAGACTTAGCAATTTTTAAAAAAAAGTGCAAAAGTTTTTCTGTAATTGTATGAAAAGCATATTTATTTGTATAGGACTTTCCCAGGGTCTTAGCCCTAGTGATGTTTGTGTTTTCTTCCTACTACACCTGATGAAACTGTGCTATTATTCCGTCTTACACTAGTTTATCTTGTGAATGCATCTTAAACTCAAATTTATTTACTTGCATAATTTATTTATTTAGTACTTTTGTTCTTTGACTAAAAGATTGATATTGTAGCAGTTATTAGGAAGCTAGAAAAATACCACACTTAAGGAGACACTTAGTAAATGAATACATATGGTAATGGTATTTTTTAAAAAAATCTGTTATTAGGGATGTACTACCAGGCATTGTTTTTTTTTTATTTTCCCCATATTCCTGTGTCTAGCTGTGGAGTAGAGTGAAAGTTGTACACTCCAGTGTTGGCAAGTAATGGGAAAGTCTTCCTTTGGCTAGGTAAGCTGAGATCTAGCTCTGTAGTTTGCTTTAAGACAGTGAAAGATCATCACTACATTAGTGTTATGGCTTAGAGAAGAAAATAACAATTAACATTATTCATTTAATTAGTACATGAATATTCTGTTAAGGATTTTAGATTACTGAATGAAAGGAAGTTTAGGAAAAGTCATTATTTCAGTTTGGTGATGTAAAGTCAAGGAAAAAATAAAGATGGCATTTAATTCTTAGCCTTGATTTTACCAGATTGGTACTAACTTCAAACTGAAGTTTAGTGATTGTGAAATCTTTTATTTATAGATTTCAAATAGATTACAACATTCTGCCTTTAGTTTCCTGGAAATTTCTCAGGGAGTTCATGTTGTCTTGTGGGAGAACTTTAGATAAAATGTATTTTTATCCTTTCTAAAATCTTTAAAAAAGAAAAGAGCAGAACTACTATTGGAGTTAGTTTCTAATTCTGCTTCTACTACCAGACAGCATTTTTACTAATGGGATGCTATTAACTTCCTGTATTGGGATTTTCTGTTGATGTATTTGTATTATTCTAGGTCTCTTAAGAACTAAACCCTTAAGTTACTTGCTTATCATTATAAAGAAAATATTGTCTACATGTGATATAGTATAAGTCAAAACACGGACTATAGACATTTGCAAATGTAAGTCTGTTTTTACTAAAAGCTTATAGTAGACAATTTTATTAAGTTGTTTTATTTCTGATTTTTCTTTTTTCCTAGTGAGTTTTTAGCAGAAAACAGTCAAGAGAAATTTTGGAAATTTGTAGAAACCAGTCAAAATATTGGATCACCAGAGGATTACGGTAAAACTGGAGCAAATGCTTCTTTGATATTGGAGTCTGGGAAAATGAAGGGGAAAAATAGTCTTTAAAAAGTGTATGTGGTAGGGGCAAATAAGTTACTTTGTTAGTAGCTAGCAGAGGCAACACAATCCATATGCTTTTTGTCATTCTGCACCTTCTCCTGTCCCCTTTAAAGTGCCATAATGAATATTTTGTGAAGGGAACTTCCTAAGCACCTGTTTTATTATAAACTAGTTGCACAGTGGAGGCTTCTTTTGTTATAAACTAGTTGCACAGTGGAGGGCATGGCTCATGTCAGTTGGTAACTTTCAGTGAATTCACCTGGCAGCCAACCCAGAAGTGGGAGGCTTGAGTTCACCCGCAGGAGCTTTGGAAGACAGGCCTGGCAAGCTACTGCCAGGAACTATTTTTTCCAAAGTTTGCAGCACAGCTCTCCTGACATATGCGAGATTTCCATTAATTGGAATTGACTTGATATGAAATTGTTTAATTAAACAATGGATTCATTATAGTTTAAATTAGATATCATTCAGTTGGAACAATTCAGAATATTTTCCATTAGGTCTATCAGTCTCCCACAACTTGTATGTCAGAATATCAAATGAATAGTATGCTTTGCATCCTTTTATAGTTTTGCCTGGGCTTTCACAAATATTTCCCAATTTGATAAATATTGTGTGATGTCCTGGTGAGATAGTGCATTATGTGTTGGGCTGACAGAAAGGTTAGTAGTTTGAATTTATTAGCTACTCTGCAGGAGAAAGATGTGAAGTTGCTTTTTGTAAGACTTAAAACATTGGTAACCCAGAGGAAAGATGTCTCAAATTGGGATCTTCATGGCTATTGCTTTGTTTTTAAATTTTGTGTGTAAATGTTAATAACCAAAGATACCAATACAGAAGTCATTAAAAAACTTATGTGTGGGACAAGAACATCTGACAACTCTGTGACTGCTGTTAACATTTACCTGATGTGGTTTATCATTTTAAAATTTATATTAAAATAGTACATATTTGAAAAGTTAAGACACTCCCTCCCTCCCAGTATAAGTATATTAAAGTCTTAACTAAAAAAATTCCTTGCCATTGTTTGGTTTTCACTCCTTATGGACCCTCCAGCCAGTTTACAGAGCTGTAAATTCCACAGGAAGGAAGGAGCCATGGGTGCCTTTTAACTACCAGAGAGAGGCCAGTTTTGGGTGGGCAGCATAACTCCTTATTGACTAGGCCACCTGAGCTCCTTAAAGTCTTCAAGAAGTATCTTTAGTAAATTACATAATTAGCAAAAAAAGAAATGTTGCCATCAGTTCAACTTGTACTCATGGCAACGTGTTGTGTGTTATAGACTTGTTTAAATTATAAAAAAATAATTTTGCTTATAGCTTGAGGCTTTATAAAGTCAATATACTAAAGATTTGATATGAAATAAGAACTTTGACATTTAAAATGAATGAAATAATATGTGGTCTTGATTAAAGGTGGTTTTTTTAAATTAAAGTTTTTAGAGTAGTTCTTGGAAATTAATTTTTTAAAAATTTTTTTTATTGTATTATTTTTCCATGTACCGTCAAATCAGATCTGACTGGTACAGGAGGAGATTGTCCCCTCATTCTTCAGCAGAGCATCTGGTGGATTTGAACCACATACCTCTGGGATTGCAGTGGGAAATTAATTTTTAAAAATATCTTAAAACGTTTGTATTTGAAATGTTATTCATAATTCTGTCATTTAGATAGACAACACTAATATTTTGACAGCATTTGAGGTATTTTTTATTTGTCTGCTTAGAAGATGCTAGTATATTAGAGAAATTTTTATATGTTTTTAAATGTTAGTATTTTTCTTTTAAAAATTTATAAGCAAAGAAATATCATGGGATCTCCTATTCATGGGTACTTCTAAAAAGAAATGCACTTAGTCCGGTGAGGCCTGAGATTCCTAATAGAGGTGACTTTAGAGTAACTGATGTTGTTATTATGTGCCGTCAAGTCGCCTGCGACTCATAGTGACCCTGTGTACAACAGCCCTAAATCCTGCTTATCCTGTGCTAGTCTTATTGTCTCTGACAACCTACCCCCATTACCCCAGTCACTGAATAAGTCCATCTCATAAGGGTCTTCCTCTCTTGTTCTGTCCCTCCACCCTCCCAAACCTGACGTCTTTATCCAAGGACTGGTCTCTCCTTGCAACAGGTTCAACAGTCTGTCAGACGAAGCTTCAGAATCCTGTCCTCCAAGGAGCAGCCTGGTCTCACCCTCTCTAGGATGACCTCGTTTGTTCTCCTAACATTCTATGGTGTATTCAATACTCTTCTCCAGGACACAGCTCAAAAGCATCAAGTCATTGTCCAGCTTTCTGATGCAAAGCAAGTAATTGCAAAGACTATGGCCTGGATCAGGCACACTTTAGTCTCCAGACTGACATCATTGCTCTTAAGTAACTGATAGCAGAACTGAATTGAGTAACTGTTAGCATAGCTATCAGAATAGCTGATAGCATAGCTGAATTGTTCCTGAATCACAGATAGAGCTTTATTACACAGATAGGTGAGAAGAGAGGAGCTTAAGTGTGAGGGAGTATCTTGAACTAAAAGAAGAAGAGGAAGATGATGTGTTATGCACCTCAAGGGAATATATATGAAATAGTTTACAGTTCACATTCCAGCTCGTGCTAGCAAACTGGCAATATTTTACATAAACCTTTTAAAACACATACTTTTTTTTTTTAACGCATACTTTTGAATGATCTTATTTGGACATCTTTATTCATAGAATGATTGTGATTTTTGACAGGTACTGATTATTCCTACTATCATGCAGTATTGGAGGCTGCATTTCAGTTTCTGTCGCCTTTACAGCAGAATTTATTGAAATTTTCTCTATCTCTTCGTTCTTACTCCGCTACAGTTCAATCCTTCCAGCAGGTGAGTTCAGTACTTTAAGAATACAGTATTTTGCAAATGTTGTATAAAGTGATGATTTGTACAAAATGGTGATATTATAGATCTATTATCTTTTTCTTACTGACATTTCTTAGGAATTATGATTTATTTATATTTGTAAAATAGTAATTAAATCTTCAAATCACTTATCTAAAAGAAGAAATGTTTTGATTTCATTTAAGGGGAAAAAATGGACACACAGTCAGACAGTCAGACATTATTTATACATCATAAGCTAAGAACTATAATCATACTAAAGTCCAGCCGGAATCTGAGCCAAGCCATTCCATTTAAAAAGAACTTCACAAGAATTATAGGAGCTGGAGGGGGCTAAGCAATGTCACAGTGATAAAGTCATAAAAATTTAGAATTTAGAGGTTTTAGAGTAAAAGAAACTGATTACAAGAAAAGAAACAGTTAAGGAATTACAAATAAGGAGAGACTTTAAAAAAAAAAAGAGAGGGGCAATCAAATACACAGATTTAGAATATGAATTAAAACTATTTTTACTGTAAAATAGAACAGAAAACTCCTCTTAGAATGGATGTAGTATTATGAATATTATGAAATGGAGACTCAGAAACTTACATAGTCAAAGAAATAGGATCTCTGCAAGCACCCTCAAAGGGCTTTGCCAACTTCCTTACCCTGATAGGAAAACACCCTTCTACCTGATAAAGGGAACCTCTTTCTTCTACTTTTCAAGTCATTTCTCTGTGTTTGCTTTTTGCCCAAGAGCTCATCTCTGCACAGTGGAGTTGTCTTATCCATCTTTAAAAAAATTTGGTAATTCTATAGTCTCTTAAATTTTGGAGTCCTTGGTTCGATGTTGACGTGATAGCCAGCCGACTTACATGAAAAGAGCCCTGGCAATATATTTCTGAAAAGTTAGCCACTGAACATCCTTTGGAGCGTGATTATACTCTGAACACATGGAGGAGCAGGGAATCAGAATTGAGGTGATGGCAACTTATTTCTTAGGTTTCAGATTCGCCTATCTTTTTTCCATAGAAAAATTTTGACTATTAGAGCTATAGATTCCATAGTTTACATTTTGTCATTCATGTTCTCATCTGATAGTTGAACTTATTTGTCTGCCCTTGTTTTTCCTTATTTTTTTATTGAAATTTTAATGAAAATTTATAGAGACTTTGGATTTCCATTCATTCATTGTTGCACATTTTCCTCCCTGCCCACCTCTCCCCCCACTTGGCTTTTCTCTTTGAAAAGTAAAAAAAAAATACTTTCATTAATACACAATCTCCCCATCCCCCACCCCTGTCTACTTCACTTTACAGCTCTCATTCTGGACCCTTGTCATGAAAATAATACCTAATCATATATTCCTTTCTAGCAGTTCTCTCCCTGATCTGTTTCAGTGCCCTCTTTTCTTAGATTCCTTCCAACTCCGATGTCATTCCTGCTTTACAACAGTGGCATTATGCAGTTTTTTTCCATTTGTAACTGAGATATTTCATTCAGCATAATGCCTTTCAGGGTCACCCATTTTGTATAATATTTCATGAGTTCCTCGTTTTTCAGTGCAGCATAGTATTCCATTGTGTGAATATACTAGAGCTTATTTTTTTTTTTTATACTAGAGCTTATTGATTCATTTGTTGATGGGTACTTGGGTTGTTTCCAGCTCTATGCTATTGTGAACAAAGCTGTAGTAAACATGGGTGTGCTTATATCTGCTTGGGTGGCAGTTTTGGTTTCTTTGGGTATATTCCCAGTAGTGGAATTCCTGGGTCAAATGGTATTTCAATTTCCAACTTTTTGAGAAAGCACCATACTGCCTTCCGTAGTGGTTTGCATCATTTTACACTCCTACCAACAGTGATGAAGGGCTCCAAATCTCCACAACCTCACCAGCATTTGTTGTTTGCTGTTCTGTTAAATTTTGTTATTCTTACTGGGGTGAGATGATATCTCATGGTTGTTTTGATTTGCATCTCTCTTAGAGCTAGGGATTTTGAATATTTATTCATGGGTTTGTGTGCCATCTAAATGTCTTCTTTGTTGAAGTGTCTGTCCATATCCTCTGCCCATTTTTAAATTGGGTTGTTTACCTTTATTTTCTTGTGGTGCTGAAGTATTCTATAAATTCTAGATAGAAGTCCCTTATCAGACATGTCATTACCAAATATTTTTTCCTAGTCTGTGACTTCCCCTTTTTAGCCTGTTTGAAAAGGTTTTGGATGTGCATAGGGATTTGATTCTTAGAAGATCCCATTCATCTTTTTTATATTCACTTGATTGTACGTTTTTCAGGGTGCTTGGAAGTCTGTTAATTCTGTGTTCTTCTTGAGTTCTTCCAAGCTTTTTTTCTAATGAAGTTTATAGTCTTTGGTTTTATTCCTAAGTCTTTTTTCCACTTTCAGTTGGTTTTTGTGTAAGGAGTGAGGTGTGGATTTGCTTGAGTTTTCTGCAGATAATATTCCAATTTTTCCAACACCATTTGTTAAAAAGGCTGTCACTTTCCCCACTCACCCCAGCTGCTGGTGACCAGTGTTGCAGTATTTGCTTCCCTAGTCAGTGCCTGCGCAGACGACTTAGCGCAGGTGGCTGAATGAACGAGAGGGACCCCGATTGTCTAAACCCACAGGAAAAATGGTGGAAAATTCACCATCGCCATTGCCAGAAAGAGTGATTTTTGACTTTTTCTTAAGTTCCCAATTTGGCTTCAATTTTGGGCAGTTACATTACCTGTCTACCTCCTTATCACTATAGTGATTGGTTACATACTCTTATTTGGAATCAACATGATGAGCACTTCTCTATTTGACTCCATTCATATGATCACAGATAACTATGCTAAAAACCAATAGCAGAAGAAATACCAAGACGGAGCCATCCCAGTACTAAGAGTCATTCCTATTAGTGATGTAAACCAAATATTCTTTCTTGCAGCCAAAGAACTGTACTCCAAAAAATGAATTGTATGGGGGCATCCCAACACAAAGCATTTATTTATAATTTTTTTTTTATATACTAACCAAACAAACAAAAAGGCTGTTGTTTCTCCACTTACCTGATTCCATCTCTTTATTAAAAATCGGTTGTCCATAGGTACATAGGCTGATTTCTGGGTTCTCAATTCTATTTCATTGATCTATGTGTCTGTCACTGTACCAGTACCACCCTGTCTTTACCACCACAGCAGTGTTGTAGGATTTAAAATCAGAGTGAGATGGCTCCTACTTTGTTTCTCTTTTTAAGGAGTGCTTTGCTTATTTGGGGCTTCTTTCCATTCTGAATGAAATTGGAGATTGCCTTTTCCATCTCACTGAAGAATGGAATTGGTATTTCTACTGGGATTGCATTAAATGTGTAAATTGCCTTTGGTAGTATTGTCATTTTCACAGTATTGATTCTTCCTATCCATGAGCAAGGGATATTCTTCGATTTCTCCAGGTCTCTTTTTGGATTTTTGTCATGTTTTGTAATTTTCTTTGAATAGACCCTTTGTGTTTCTAGTTAGATTTACTCCCAAGTATTTAATCTTGTGATTAGCAGTTATGAAGTGTATTGTTTTTCTTAGCTCCAGCTCTTTATTCTCTTTGTCCCTGTAGAGAAATCCAACTACCTGATTTTTGTATGCTGATCTTGTATCACTTTGCTGAATTGGTCAACTATGTACAGAAGTTTCCTTGCTGAGTCTTTAGGATTTTCTAAGTATACTATCATATCATCTGAATAAAGAGATAATTTTACCTCCTCTTTGCCAAATTTTATTTCCTTCTCTTGTCTTATTGCTATCGCTAAGACTTCCAGTACAATATTGAACAGGAGAGGTAATAGTGGGCATCCTTGCCTAGTTCCTGTTCTCAAAGGGAATATCTTTAATCTCTCTCCATTGAGAACAATGTTGGCTCTCGGGTTTTCATAAATACTTTTTAGTATGTTGAGGAAATTCCTCTCTAATCCTATTTTGTTGAGTATTTTAATCAGGAAAAGGTACTGGATTTTGTCAAAGGCCTTTTCTACATCATTTTACAGGATCATGTGGTTCTTGTTCTTTGCTTTGTTAATGTGATGAATTACACTGATTGTTTTTCTTATGTTGAACCATCCTTGGATATCTGTTATGAATCCCACTTGGTCATGGTGAATTATTTTTTTGATGTTATCATTCGATTATATTGACCAGGATTTTATGAATGATTTTTTTATTATTAAATTTTATTAATTTTAATGAACATTTACAGAGATTAGGGGTGTTCATTCATTCATTGTTGCACTATTTTCTTTACCCTCTTCCCCAGTTTGTTCTTTTTTCCCCCCACCTTGAAAGTCTGTTTTATTTGTCCAATTGCCACAGCACTTGTCAAAGCCAGTTCCGATTAATCTCCTTTGTCATTGTGTCCTTTGCCATTCCCTATCACTCCTCCCTGAGAGAGACTTCACCCTGATTCATAAGGAAAAGGGGATGGC